TAGCGCAGATAGCCCTCGTGTAGCTTTGCGCGAAATTCAAAACAAACAAACAATTATGTATTTTATTCTTTCTACCCACACCCCCTCTATTAAGGCCGACAGATAGTTTCATTCGTGTTGTCAATTGTTCATCACATAATTAGACATTATAAATCATATTTTTGTCATTCTGTAAGTTAGCCACACATATTCCCTCATACCACTTCTTTCATTATCCGCTCACTAGGTCCAATCATAAGTTAATTCATCCACTCAGTAGTCCATCATGTAGATCCACCTGATCAGTTACTATATTCTGATAGTAACCCATCACGTAGATTTCACGGACTTGTTTCGTTCTCACAAATATTTAGTTATATTGAGTAGGTTATTTCTTCCATTCCGTTAGAAGTCCATAAATTGTAAAACCTGATAGAAAAAACTTCAACATCTACATGTAGCAGTTTTCCTTATCCTTATATTTTTTTCCTTCTAAATATTATTCATTGTTTACTAGTAATTATAGTAAGGGCTCAGAACCAACTCTAAGATCCAGATCAGCTTGTCTATACTTTGAATTATCTGACCCATCTTCCCATAAGACTGTTTACTCTCTCTACAAACCCGATCATTAATTGACCATTAATCTGATATAGAAGCTTACACCAGAAGACAGCAAACGTTTGTTTGATGTGTCTCATATAATTAGAGCTTTTACTACCATCACTTTTTTAATTGATTCTGATTTTGCACTGGCTTTCTAGTGTAGTAAACTGCTTATTATATAGCAGAGCAGTGGGTGCACTTATCAGTATAAGCTCTCCGTACTTCTTTCTAACGAATGTCATGAAGTTCCAGTTTTAGTTTGTCTTTAAAAATTAAAATTTTACTGTCATACTTTCGTTAATCTAAATATTCGTCACAAGGTTCTGCAATATGTATTTGGCTACAATGTGGTTACTTTCTTTATAAGTTGAAAGATAGTCGATTAGAAATGTGAAATGTGTGCAACACAACTTTGTGAAATAGCAACAAACAACAGTGTTTCACGGCTGTAGATATCGCCAGAAATATTCTTCGAAACAACATATTTTTCTAGTATTTATATTACTGATTATATCCTGACATTATAGTATATGTTAACCTCAATTTAGGAAAACCTATATATTTTGTAGAATATGTAAAGCGTGTGTTATTTTAAATAAGTTAATGTTTAACGTTGTATGTGTACAAAAAGTTTTTATTGCCAAATCTGTTGTGAGCAAAGCGAAAATGATGAACATAC